CCCTCAACCACTGAGCCACCCAGGCGATCCTTGGAAGATGTCTTCTAAGCTTGCTTCCTTCACTTAATTATCTTTCCAGCTGTGTTTAGTCTGATATACCTGCCCATTTAGTTTGATTTCCATTATTTTTATTTCTTGAAGTTCTGTTTAGTTCTTTGCCAAATTTGCTCTGTAGCCTTTAATGACTGTGTGCAGATACTCCTGCAGACACTCTATTTTCAAACTCAGTAAGCATGGTTGTTGTCATTGGTCATTTGTCGTTTTATGTTTGTTTATAGTCCTTTTGACAATATTTAAGTCTTTGGGACAGGTTTCTGTTGTATTCTTTTGCCCTTATTGCTCTTGAAAGCTACTTGTATAAATATGAGGTCTAGGATAAAGATGTCGTTCATATTGGGTATGTAGGTGTTTAGGAATACTATCAAGCAGACCACTTTAAGCTCATGGCTTGAGGTTTTGGGACAACACTGATAAAGTGATTCTAGTTTATTTGGCCAAGAGTACTGGTTTGTCATCCCTGAGAATATAGCACTTTGGTTCTGCTTAATGTGGAGGGTTGCTATAAAGATTTCTCACCTTGGATAGGCCTGGGGCTTTTGATTTCACCTCTCAGTAGTTAAATCTTCACTTTTTAAGATTTTTTTTTTTTTTAAGATTTTACTTATTTATTCATGAGAGACACAGAGAGAGAGAGAGAAGCAGAGACACAGGCAGAGGGAGAAGCAGGCTCCTTGCAGGGAGCCCGATGTGGGAGCGCTGAGCCACCCAGGCTGCCCTGCTTTTAAGATTTTAACAAATATTTTTTCTGGACTTAAATATTTTTTATTGGTAGAATTGGTCTGCATAATTTAGCTTGTCACTACCAGAAATGGAAATTCTTCAGATGTCTGAGAAAGCAATTTCATGTCTGATAAATATTCTCATTGATTTTATTTGATGTTGAGTGAAGTAAAAAACAAAAAACAAAAAACCCTAGGTATTAACTGAAACCTGTGTTTTCTCAAGGTGATCTGATTGAGAACTACCCGCCTCAGAGGCTGGGCTTCTTTTTTAGAATGGAGATTTTGGGGTCCACTCTTTCAAATTGGTTGGTTCAGGATCTGGGTATGGGAATCAATCTTTTTCTCTTTTAAATGAACTTATTTGTACTTTTAGACTTAAAGGAAAGTTGTAGAGATACTCAGAGAATTCCTATATGCCCTTTTCCCAGTTTTCATCAATGTTAACATCTTAACGTTACCATGGTACATTGACTAGTCTACATTTTTAACAATCATCTCAACTAATTACTTTGCAGAACGATTGACACTGTGCTAAGATAATTAAAAATGGACAGAATTAAAGAGCTTATGTTTATTGAGTAGTAGTTATCAAACACAAGTTAAGTCTTTCCTATTTTTGTAGATGGTGACCAGAAATTGTCCTGAGATAAATTTTTGCAAAGATGGTGTCAAGCCAAACAATGGAATTACAAAATTAGGCCTGATTTTAAAAACGGAAGTGTGTACAATCAAGAAACCTAATTAACTAGAGTGGGTAGGGCAGATTGGAGAAGATACCTCTGAAGAAGTAAATGCCATCCGTTCTGTCTTGGATCATTTTTATTAAAAAAAAAAAAAAGCAAAAGAATTTCATTTTAAGAGTTTGAATTCTAGGGCGGCCCCGGGGGGGCTCAGCGGTTTGATGCCTGCCTTCAGCCCAGGGCCTGATCCTGGGGACCCGGGCTCCCTGCAGGGAGCCTGCTTCTCCCTCTGCCTGTGTCTCTGCCTCTCTGTGTGTGTCTCTTTGTCTCTCATGAATAAATAAATAAAATTTAAAAAAGTTTGAATTCTAAATGTAACCCCACGAAATGGACAGGGAAGGTAGCAATGCAGCCATTCTTCTGAGTACATGTTAAAATGTTTTAAAAATCTGAATTTATAAGTTTGGGTTATTTTTGATATTTTTGATCATTGCTGGACTTACTAGATTGTGTATTCAACCTGGCAAGTTCCAAAATGTTAGCAAAATGACAAATAATGCAGAATGAAATGTTCTTGCTTTCTCCCAGTCTTAACTTATAGGTGACTACTATTAGTTTTCTGGTATATCTTTACAGAAGTGTTTACATAAAATACGTGCATGACTTTGCATATTCATAGATATCTTCCTGTCCAGATTGGGTTTTGCCATATGCCCTATGCTCTTTCCATATCTGCTTCATTTTTATTGCAAAGCATTCCATTGTATGCACCTTCCATGCTAATACTAAGTTTATTTTTGATGAAGTAAGTAATTGTAGCTGCTCTCCATATAAGCTTTATGGATGCCCCTGAAGGTTGCAGTACAGCGATTGGCAAAAGCACATACAATCCCTGTAATACGCTTGTGCTCTGGTTAGTTGGGAAAGATAGACCTTAGTCAAATAATCACACTTAATTTTTTTTTTTTATAAAGGAACTTCTTTTTTTTTTAATTTTTTATTTATTGGGATCCCTGGGTGGCGCAGTGGTTTGGCGCCTGCCTTTGGCCCAGGGCGCGATCCTGGAGACCCGGGATCGAGTCCCACGTCGGGCTCCCGGTGCATGGAACCTGCTTCTCCCTCTGCCTGTGTCTCTGCCTCTCTCTCTCTCACTGTGTGCCTATCATAAATAAATATTTATAATAAATCATTTATTATAATAAATCATATAATAAATCATATTTATAATAAATAAATATTTATTTACGATAGTCATACAGAGAGAGAGAGAGGCAGAGACACAGGCAGAGGGAGAAGCAGGTTCCATGCACCGGGAGCCCGACGTGGGACTCGATCCCGGGTCTCCAGGATCGCGCCCTGGGCCAAAGGCAGGCGCCAAACCACTGCGCCACCCAGGGATCCCTCACACTTAATTTGTAATTACAAACTTGAGACATCTTATGATGGAAAGAAATAGGGCATTATAGGACTGTTTACAACCAAGAAATCTTATTCAGCCGGAATGTGCAGATTGGAGAAGCCTCTCTGAAAAAGTAAAAACTTTGAGCTAAGAGACAAAGGAAAGGGCATGTTAACTGAATTTTGGAAGAACCTTCTAGACAAATGTTAAAGCACAGGCCTTTAGATCCGTAACATTTTTTTCATGTTAGAATCTCACAAATGGGTAACTAAAGCTGGAGATGGACTTATTTAAGGTTTTTGATATTCCTATGGCCAAATTACTCTCCAGAAAGAAAAAGAAAATAAGTTTATAGGAACACTGGCTGTATTTAAGAATGCATGTTCACCATTTTCCCTGAATTAAAATAAGATCTTTACTGATTGGATAGACAAACTATAGAGTCCCACTAGTATTTCTTTGACTAAGATTCAATATTTTTCTTATTTTTGAATTCATATTTCTTTATAATTTTTTGCTAAATATTTTGTTACTGTTGGCTAATTAACCAGCATCACTAGAGAAATTTATCAGTGATATTAGAAATTATTTAAAGCAACAAATATTTAAAAGTAGAATAGGAGACATTCTTAGGAAGAAATATTTTCCTCATAATTTGTTTAAAGGATGGATATTGGCTTAGTGGTAATACTCCACAGATAGGCACTTGACTGCTAGTCAGTACCTCTTAACTCTTTAATCATCATGCAAGACATGTTGATATGAGGAATCACATCTTGTAGCATTCTGAAAGTTAAAAGTCTGTGGTTTAAAATTTTAAAAGATAAACTTGATTTTAATGTGGTGGGATCTTAAGCTTGATTTCGATTATTTTTTTGTGATATGTACATTCATTACCTGTGGCACTCAGCCATTTTCCTGCCTGCATATTAATGTTTTACCTTAAGTATTCTTTTTTTTTTTTTAAGATTTTATTTATTTATTCTTGAGAGACATGGAGTGAAGGCAGAGACCCAGGCAGAGGGAGAAGGAGAAGCAGGCTCCCCGGGGGAGCCCGAAGCAGGGCTCGAACCCTGACCTCCCTGATTTCCGGATCATGCCCTGAACCAAAGGCAGAGGCTCCACAGCTGAGCCACGCGGGTGTCCCAAGTATTCTTTTTCTTAGAGCAGTGTTCTCTAAGTTAATACTAATCTCTCTTAGTAGAATTTAGGCTAAGCATTTAGGAGATGCTTCAATCAGTTCTAACGGTATTCATGTCAGGTAACCGAGAGTTTGTTGACAATATGCCAGCATATCCCATATCCCGGTGTCCTTGGGGTGTGCTCATTATCAGTGATAAGACGGGAGGTACATTTGAAGAGATAGGGAAGGTTTACTTGAGATAGGTTGGGACTTCGCACTTTATAGTGGTCATTAAGTTGTGTAAAGGGTGACATTTGATAAAAGGATTAATAACTTTTAATGTTTTTTTGAAAGATTTTATTTATTCATGAGAGACACAGAGAGAGGCAGAGACCCAGGCAGAGGGGGAAGCAGGCTCCACGCAGGGAGCCTGATGGGGACTCGATCCTGGGACCCCGGGGTCACGCCCTGGGCCGAAGGCGGCACCAAACCCCTGAGCCATCCAGGCTGCCCGGGATTAGTAAACTTTTAAAAAAAGGTCTCTGGGGGCCATAATGGTGGCTGACTTTCGTTTTTAACATTAATTTGATGAGAATAACTCTTGAAGTGGATTCTGTGAGGTACTAAGTCTAAAAATATAAAGAAAAATTGACCATTTGTAGTTACAGGAGTTGGAATAAAGGCCTCTTGTATTCATTTTCTGTGATGCTAGCATACATCAGATGCTTTAGAGCGGTGCTATTATGAAATTGTGCTTACAGGGTAGATTTTAGAACATAATGGTAACTTGTTTGTTTATGACCGTATCCTCTGAAAAATTACTTGGGGCTAGTATGAAAGCCCATATATATGTGCCATGATTTTTCTTAACACTGATGTGTTTTTAATGGGTTTATACATTCCTCTTTGGGATAGCCCAGGTGGTATTGATTTAAAGGATTTGGGCATCAAATGTTTTTATTGGTATTAAATACATAATATACATAGTTTGTTAACACCGACATTTCTCTCCATAGATATTTGGAGTTCTTACAACATGGCAGACATTGACAAGTAAGTGCCAGATAGTTGATTTCTTGTTTGTTTGTTCTTATCTCAGAGATTGGGCTTCACTTTATACTGTGATATAATTAACAGCAGTATTAATAATGAAAAATGTATGATAATGATTGATGGTTAGTACCTGCAGTTATAACAGTTGGGTACCGTGTATCCAAGACAAAATATAGGATATATAATCATTGCTTAAATAAACTATTTGCTAGTATTTATTTTTAGGAATGTGCTGAGCATAATAATGAATCATAAATACTTGGAAAATTCAGTTTTACCATATACTTGTATTTCCCAAAGATTTTACTACTTCCATTGTAATGTATCGTACATACAAGATAAAAAGTGTATGAAATCTGTCTGTGGAGTTTAAAGAATAATAGGATACTTCAAGGTTTTGAAAGTAAAAATTACTATCAGAAGCCCAGTGTCCCTCTTCTCAATTGCATCCTCCACCTTTCCTCTCCAGATGTGTAAACACTGTCTTGGCATTTGTCTAAATCATTTTTTTCTTTAGAGTTTTATCACCTACATATTGTTAATCAATGTTTAATTTTGAAAATGTGAATAGCAGTCACAAACTCAGCAGTGTCTAAAAAGAAAAGCAATATTATGACTTGAAGTCTGTTAAGGTAGGAAAGTAAAAACAAAAAGGTGATCTGGGTCATAGTCTAGCTTTAGCTTTCCTGGGCAAGGTCATGCATTCTAGAAACATCAGTTTAATGAAGTTGGCTTCTGGTGGGGTTCTAGTGTGGATGGATGTCCTGCAGAAATACGATAAGGGAGAATGGGTGAGCTGCACTGTTCGTTGCTTATGACTTCACACAATTTAGGAGGAGGTTAAAACAGAAAACTCGGGCGTTGATGGTATGCTACGACAGTCCACAAGTTGTAGACACAGCATGGAGGTGGGAAGGCGGGAAAATGTAATACAGAGGCATCACATTCAAGGACACCGAGGAACCTGGCCACTGCTGGCGTGCTTAAAGGGGTGGCCGCAGGTATTTTAGTGTCATGGCTTTCCAAGTGATTGCCTCTAGTGTTCTGCTGCTCCAGTCTGGATTGCTTAACCTTGGTTATGCGGCTGTCACTGTGGATCTATTTTATTATCTTCCTGGGGCTTCCTTTTGTGTCTTCTCTTGGGTTTGCTGTATCCCATGCTATTTTCTTTTTTAGTTCTTTAGTACTTTCCTGGAAGAGTACAAGGGAAGTAAATTATTTTGAGACTGAAAATGGGTATTCTATTCTTACGTTTAATAGTTGGAGCGTAGAATTCTCATTTGGGAATCCTGTTTCTTCAGAATTTTGAAGGCATTGCCCCATTGTCATTTGGCTTCCAGTATTGCTGTGTTGAAGTTCAAAGTTCATTATAATTCTTGATCATTGTATGTGACGCATAATTTGTTTTAAACATAATACATATATACTTATTTCTGGAAGCACTCTGGCTTCAGAGTTCTGAAATTTTCACGTTCTATCTATTTTTAAAATTTCTTGTGTTAGGCATTCATTGGTGGGCCCTTTCAGTCTGGCAACTTGATGGCTTTCAGTTCTGGGGAATATTCTTGACTTACTTTGTTGATTGTCTTATTTCCTTTTCTCTTTCTGGAGCTCTTATTATGTTGTATGTTGAACTGGTTCTTCTAATTATCTTTTGTCTCATTTTCCATCTTTTCTCCTTGTTCTTCTTTCTGGCAAAGCTGAAGAAACTTTATCTTTCACCTCTTGTATTGAGTTTCTAAATTTCTGTTGTTTAGTTCTCAGGAGTGTCTTTATTCTCTCTGTTCCTGTTTTTATAGCATCTTGTTCCTGTTTCATTGATTGTAATATCTTTTCTCTGGATTGTAATATTGGATGTTTTTCCCCTGCATAGTATGTTTGTTCTTCAATTTTTCTTTGCCCTATTTGTTTTTGTCTCCATGTAAAAGCATTTTCTCAAATACGAGGTGTATTACTTGGTTGTCTAGTCACTAAGATCGGGGTGGGGTGGAGAATATGCAGTTGAGATGGGTTTAAAAAAGTTGATTAGAAAATTTGAGTGTTGGGGGTTTTAATTTAGATTGTAATGTAAGGTCATCAGGGAGGGCATTTATTGTGAGAATCTCCATTGACAGATTCTGGGTTGGTCAGATACCCTGGTTTAAAAGTATCTGGGTAAAGATCTGACTTTCAGTGTTGTGGGATCCAAATTGGGAAAAGGTGGTTAGGGAAGGGTCTCTTCACTTAACATTGTAGTGTGTGATACAGGCTTATATCTGAGAGACTCGAGGTTGTGTCTGTGGTCTTGTAGTCCGAGCTCTCGGTTTAATCCTTTCCAAAGAAGAAACAGCCATGCTTCTGCTAGATTGAGGGAGAGAATCTGGAGATTTAACTGCTTTATCAGTTTTTGTTTAGTTCTCTTTATTTTCTCCATTTTCATCCCCCCAGCCCTAGTTCCAGAAGTGTCCTTTTTAAGATTTTGTGTTTGGGCTCCTAGTTTTTGAGCTTTTACCACTGTTAATTTAGATGTCAGTTCTCAGTGAAGTTGCTGTTGCTGTTCTTGTCTTTTTGTCCTTCAATGTTTGTCTGGTTAAAAAACCCTTTTGTCATAATTTTAGTAGGGATTTTGGTAGGATTAAGATCAGAGGAGCATACCATCTTAACTTTGCAACCTCATTTTGTTTTACTTTAAACTTTAGAAAAAGAATAAATAGGTTGTGACCGCTTGATTCCCCACCATCCCCTTATTTAATTTTAGGTGACTGAGCCCTAGGAGAATGGGAGGAAGGGGGAAGATTCTTGTTCTTTAAAACAGGAGTCAAAAAATAAAAAATAAAAAAAAATAAAACAGGAGTCAGCAAACTTTCTGAGTAAAGGAAAGTTTTGAAGGCATCTTATAAATATTATAAATCTATAAAATACATAAACTTTAATATTCTAAAATTTATATAAGTGCCGATTATAAATATTTTAGGCCTTTGGACCATATGGCCACTGTTGCAGTTACTCAACTCTGCTTCGTAGTGCGAATGCAGCCATAGACAATACCTAAACTTATGTGGCTGTGTTCCAGTGAAGTTTTATTTACAAAAATAATGGCCTGTGTTTGACCATGTGACATACTCTGTCGACCTCTGTTTTAAAGCCTTAAAATGTAGGTGTTGAATAAATGGTTAAAATCACACTGGATAAACAGCTGTGCCAGGTAATGACCTTTAAATCTAAAAATGTTATACTAAAAGATAATTTTAGAAGTAATCTATTTCAGATGGGAAGGCTGAATTTTTTTCCTCCTTAGTTTACTGTACTATGCATTTTGCTGATAATACAGTTGACATTTTCTGTATTTGTCCTTATATGAAAATTAGGTAGTATTTGTCTCTATATGAAAGTTAATATTTCAAATGCTGTTTCTAACCATGAAAGTGACTAAATCTGTAAACCAAATACTAAAATGTAAAGTCACACAAGGAATTTTATGAAAATATATATTGACTTAGATACCCTTTTTTCCCTTTTAATTCTCGTTGTAATTTTATGTTCAAAAACTAGATTTTTAGGATGAAATGGGGAGAATATTATCTTATTACTTTTTTCCTTTTCTTTCGACGGTATCATCCTCCTGGCTTTGCTCTAAGCATAAGTAGACTCCGGTCTTCTTAACTTTTTCTGCCCATCTCCACTATGAAGTAAAGAAAAAGGAGGAAAGTCCAAAGATAGTCCAGGCTGTACTGTACTGTACTGATTGCTCCATCCATCGGGGGTACAGGATCCTTGTTTTTCCAAACTCCTTCATTCTGTTGACTTTCATTCTCTAGGATGCCTCATGGTCCAGCATGGCTACTGAACTCTAGTCATCACATGCCTATTTTATGAAGGGAGCAAGATTAGAAGGCCTCCCAGCTGTCCTATAAAGGAGGCTTACTCAATTCTGTACAAATTTTGCTTTTTTAGCTTCACTCACTGCCCAGAGTTACTTAACCACACCTCGCCAAAAGGTACAGGTTGGGAAATGTAGATTTCTAAAAGCTTGGTGTTTTGCCATCTCCTAATATCAGGGTGCTGTTACTAAGAAGACCGAAATCCGTGGTTATTGTGTAGAGAAACACATACTTCTGACCTCACATTCCTGGGACCAACCCCAATCAAACCACATTTTTAAAGCTTGGAGTAGAGGGGAGCCTGGCTGGCTCAGTCAGTGGAGCATGCAGCTCTTGATCTTGAGATTGTGAGTTCAGGCCCCACATTGGGTGCAGAAATTATTTAAAAATAAAATCTTAAAAAAGAAAAAAAGCTAAAAATAAAAACTTTATATTTGACCATGTGCTTTTAAATGAAATTCTGTGTACTTCCAGTTTGTGCTTGTTTACGTGTGAAGTTAGAGAACTGAATTACCTTTTGAATTTCCTATTTCATATTTTTGAAAGAGGCATATTAACCTACAAAATGAGTTGAAGTTTTTTATAATTTTTTATTTATTTTTTGGTAATTGGTACATTTGAACCTTGGTGTGATACTATGATATTGTAGCAAAGAACAGTCTGAACTTGATCAAGATTTGGATGATGTTGAAGAAGTAGAAGAAGAAGAAACTGGTGAAGAAACAAAAATCAAAGGTATTATTTTAAATTACTTCAGGAGCCAGTGATTGTTGGCACATGTCTTCTAGAGGGTAGTTAACAAATACTGTTCCCTTTTGGATCCTTGTCTACCCACGTGGCCTGTATCTCTGGTTTAGGGACAGTTTGTGTGTGTATGTTCAGGGTGGGGGTAAGAAAAGAGGGGAAGAGGGAGATGGAGATATAATGGTAATAAGGGAAAAGGTATGAATATAGTTAGTAACCCGTCAGAAGTCACTCTGTATACCCACCCTCTACTGCTGGAATGACATGGCATAGCTGTGTCAAACAGCTGCCCATGAGTTTTGTCTGAATTCAGAAATGTTACAGATGTTGGTGGGAGTTGTTTTGATGATATTTCTAAACAAACAAACAACACTAGCTTAGAGTTACTGGAAATGTTCAGTGTTTCCTGCATAGAAAACATGTAGTTGTATGTCAGTCATTTTTTAATCCATTCCAATCAAATGACAAAAATGACATTTGTTAAATGTAAAAAAAAATTCACTATGTTTTCTTTAGCAAATAATTATTTAGAGGGGGGGGGTTAGCAGTGTTAGTGGGGAGTTGTACTGCTTTAGGTTACACCCTGTAGGTATGGGCCAAGAATATTAAAGTACTAGATGACTCAATTTTTCATTGTAAGCCAGATGGAGGTTAATTGTGAAAAGGTCACTGAACTTTAGCGTTAGCTTTCGTCATGTAACATTCTTAAACGATATATAGGTCTGTATCCTTAGTGGCTAGTCCTAAAGGCATGTTATAGTAAGTGTATGTCATCCAGTAATCAAATTAGTCTTAGAAATTGATCTTTAAAAACATAATTGGGAAAATTCATGTCAATTTTGTGTAATGTCTATTGATGAAGAGATGATAATAGCAAAATAATTTGTTTTGCCTAAATCTAGTTTTCTAGTTTATTTTTGGATTGAACATAATTTTTAGACACCGTTAACCACATTTTGTTTGGCTTTAGTTACAACCTTGATTGCCTCAACTGTTAACTATACACACAAGCACACTATACTAACAAGCATCAGACAAATATTTAGGCTACTCTAGTCTTTCTCCCAGGGTTGAAATTGACATTTTATTTGCAGTTTTCTGATAATGTGTTGTCTGCCTTCAGAGTGTTACATAGAGTCATACATAGTAGGTAGGCATCTGGATGAAGATTTGAGCTTCTCAAAAATGTAAGATGGATGAAACACAAGGTTGTAGAAGGAGAAAGGATATTTATTGTTAAAGGTAGCTGTGGCAGTGGCATTTGTTTAGAGCATTAGGAATCTGAGCTTTCTGAACGTCAGGTTTTCCTAGAGTGGATTTTCCTCCACTTGCTTGCTGCCCGTCTCTACTCAAACCAATGAATTATGGGCTAGTCAGGAAAACTTCATTATTGGATTGTCCTATTAAAATAGCGTAATACATTTTCATAAAATCCTTCTTTCGATGCCCTTTTTTTTTTTTTTTAAAGCGCGTCAGCTGACTGTTCAGATGATGCAAAATCCTCAGATTCTTGCAGCCCTTCAAGAAAGACTTGATGGTCTGGTAGAAACACCAACAGGATACATTGAAAGGTACAAGTTCTTCTTTTCCGTGGTCCTTATTTATCCTTCTGTAATCAGCATTGCAGGTGTATCTTTTTAAAACCACCTAGGACTTAGATATTTAATAGTGGAAAGCTAATGTCTGTTAGTATCTAGTATAGGATTATTGAGAATTTAAAATTTTGCTGAGTACCACCAATTTAGGGTTGATCTCTTAAAGTTTGACTCCTCTCTACAGGAAATACACTGTTCTTAACTATTTCTGAGATTTATTTGGGGGTTTGCTAGGAATGCACAGAATTAGAAGAAATACAGATTTCCTATTTATTTCACTAGTCCTATATATAAATCATTAATAATAGCTTGTATATCTTATTCTGCTTATAATTGTTTTTACTTGGCTTTATAATTTAAAGATTCATCCCTATTGCTATCTGTATGCAATCTCTAGTCAGCAGTTTCTAGCTTCTGAATGTTGTCACTTGGCGATATTTGTCCACCAAATTTTATACTTTTTCTTTGGCGGATATCTAGATTGCCTCTAAGCTCCATCAACACAAACTCCATTATAATGGTCCTCTTTTTGCATGCTCTCTTAAAGAACTGTGTAAGAAATTTGAGACATGTACTTACCAGTGGGATTATTTGTTATGGGGTATGCAAGCTTTAAGTACTTCCAGCTTGCTTTCTAGAATGACTGTATCCAGTGCATGAAGGATGCTTTATCCTTGTGTCCTTGCCAGCAGTTGGCATCGTTCATCTTTATGGGTTTTTGCCTACGAGGTGCAGGCATATTTTATTTGTACTTTTTGCTGTCTAATGAGTTTTTGAGCTTTTCTTCATGACTGTAAGCCTTTCAGGTTGCTCTCGTCCACTTTCCTATTGGGGTTTACTGTCTTGTTTTGCAGGAGTTTTTGTATATTCTAGGTGTTAATCTCATCAGTTTTAGGCTTTATAAATAATCTTTTGTCATTTTTATTAATTTTATCCATAGCACTCTCCATTAAACCAGCATCTTTCATTTTTTATGTTTTAAGTTTTTTGACCTGTGGCTTACTCTTTTCAAGTTAAGAAGTTTTTCCTAGTTACTTCTGCATTTCCTGTTGAGTAGTTTTACCTTTCATCTTTAGGTCTTTACTTCTCAAGGCCACCTTTGTATTTAGCTGTGCATCAGGGTTTTTTTGTTTTTGTGTTTTTTTTTTTTTGTGAGCCTGTTTTTATTTATAACACTTCATTCTTTCCCCATTTATTTGTGATGCCACCTTTATTGCACATCAGTTTCTTACAAACACCTGTTTGTCTTTGAGCAGCACTCTTTTAATTAATGTGGCTTTTTAATATGTCTTCATATCTAGCAGGGTGATAATTTAATCTATTAATCTATTTCTCCCTGTAGTATCTTGCTTTCTTCTACCCCCCGCCCTCCCTCACCCCCCCCCCCCCCGCAATCCCCCTATGGAACATACTCTTAAGATTGGCCTAATTATATGAGACCTTTATCCCACATATGGCTGATAGTAAGTTTATAGGAGTTTTCACAAAATGAAACACTCCTCCACCAAATTTTGATAGGAGTTACATTGAATATATAGATTAACATGGTAGGGAATCATTCTTTTAATGTTAAATTGTCTCATTTATATCCTTGTATTTATTGAAATCATCCTCTTTTCTGTTACAGTTTTTTTTCATAGTCTATTGGTTGATTCCTGTATACTTTAGTTGTGTTGCTGTTGTGAATAGTATCTTATTTCTTACTGTATTTCCAAGTTGACTATTGTTAATGTAGAGGAGTGATAATGATTTATCTTCATTTTTTTCTTTCTTTTACTGTTGATCTAGTATCCAGAAATCTTGCTACACTTATAATTGTTCTTTTTTTTTCCTCCCATAGGCAAAAGATCTTATCTGCAAATAATGGCAGCTTTAGCTCTAATCTTTTCACATTACACCACACCAAGTTTATTTTTAGTTCATTATAACATTGTCCATGTCTTTCAGTACTCTGTTAAACAATTAGCATTAAACACGAGCATTTTTATCTTATTTCATCTTAACTAGGAATGGTTATAAAACTGCTCCATTAGACTTATTGTCTACTTGGAATTTTTTTTAAAACGTCAAGTAGTTGACGTTTTATTCAAGGTCTTCTCTAGTGAAACGTGTGTGTGTGTGTATATGTGCATGTATATATAATACAGAAATTTTTATGGGATTATAATTCTATGCCCTGGTGTTAGAGTTTCATTTCACCTTTTTAATGAAATAAACAGGGCTACTTTTACTTTTTCTCCTTTTTTTCAAAGCAACTTGTATACATAGATACGAATTAATTGTCCCTTGAACAGTTGATAGAACTCTTCTAAAAACGGACTTGGGCTTTTAGGGTTTGAGAATCCTTCTTTGGATTTGCTCCATTCCCCTTTCAGTTTCTTGAATTGAGGGCTTTGTTCATTTGATTTTTTTTAAATTAATCTATTATGGCCTTAATATTTATTGCAGATGTTCTATGAAAGTTGATTGTGAAGATCTATCTGCTGAAATCAGTACCTCAGGTTTATTAATTGTGTTGTTCAGGTTCTTTTTATTTCTTATTGATTGCTTTATCTAACAGATTCTGGGAAGAATGTGTTAAATTTCCACTTAATCTGTTTCTCCCTGTGATTCTATTAGTTATGGATTAATATATTTTTGAAGGTGTATTATTAACTATATGTTGGTGATGCGTATATTTTGACCATTTTGTTCCAGTTACCAGTATAAAATATCCTCTTTTATATTTTGTGGTGGTTGGTGGTATGAATTGTTTTGTTTGATCTTAAGACCGCTATTTTAGCCTTCTTTTGATGTTTATTTACCTGGCATGTCTTTTTCCATCCTTGAATCTTATCTCTAGTATGTAAGTTTGCTGCTTTATTAGTAATTTTAAACTCTTTGCATTTCTTGAAAGTGGTATTGTTTTTGGACATAATTGCTATTATTTTATAATTTATTGTACTGTTTCTCTTTTTCTGCTTTCCATTAAATAAATCAAATTGTCTTCTGATATTAAAATTGCTGCATTTTGTTTTTTATTATAGTAAAAGGGCTTCTAACCTAATATCTAAGTTTATTTACCCATATTGATTTCTTAAATTTACTCTGTTTTTTTTTTTTTTTTTTTATACGTATATTCTCTAGTCCTCTTTTTCCCATCAAGGCAACAGTAAAATTTACCAAGGTTTTTGGCCACCCACACTTACATAATATTTCCTGAATTTTTTTTTCTTACTTAGAAATTATTTTTAATGAGTATTTGTGGCATATTTCCTGAAGCTTCATATGTCTCATACGATTTTTATTTTGCCTTCATATTTGAATAATAGTTTGGCTTATAAAATTTTAAGTTCAAAGTTCTTAAATATCTTAAAAATTCATTTCTTCTTGTATCTGGAGTTTTCTTTTGAAGCCTGTTGTCAGTCCGATTCCTTTTCCTGTATAGGTTATTTGCTTTTTCATTGAACACACTTACAATTTTCTTTGGTCTTTGATATTCAGGAATATCATTCACCTGTCTAGGGGTTAGAGTAAGGATTTTCATATTACTTTAATTCTGAGAAATTTATTGCTCTTTTCTTCAGATATCCACCTCCTGTCTTTCAGCTGTTGCTAATTTTGTTTCCAAATCATTTTTCTGTCTTTCCTGCTGCTTTTCTGGAGAGTATTCCAACTTTAATGAACTTCCTTAAGCTGAACCTATCCTGTTTATCTTATTTGTTGGTTATTTGTTTTAGCTACTGTATTTTTCATATTTAATATTTCTACTTTGTTTTAGATTTCCTTGTCTTGTTTCTTCCCTCCTCTCTTTAAATATATTTACATTGTTCTAGTAATACGGCTTCAGATGATACGTATTTCATTCTTTCATTAGAAATTATACTCCTTAAAGGTTTAGTTATTTTGGCTGTAGAGCTCAGGCTCACTGGCTGATTTAATCCTCAATAATGATTATTGAGGGAGGAGAAAAGATCAGGCTCTGGTTTGTGACAGTCTGGAATTTAAGAATAGAGTCTGGTCACCTGAGACTCAAAGTTTACTGTCAATTCCAGGCAATTGTCTTTGGCTGCTTGGGGCAGAGGAAGTTGCTCCTTTGGTTGTAATCTGTTGTACTTGGGTTGGAGGGGTGGAGGAGGGAGTGCTTTGTAGGCTCTCAGCTGGTCCAGCTGCCATCAATGAACTCCTAAGAATGCTGGCACCTGGGCTTTGTGAAGGGTGAAGAGGTCAGGCACTGGCTGTTGTAAGGCAAACCCAAAATTTCAAAAGCTTTCTTCCAGTCTCCTGTTCCCCCGTTCTGCTCATTCTCGCCCATTTCCAGGTGGTAGTTCACCCTGTATAGTTTGTTAGTCTTACTCAGAAGTTGCTCCGTAGTGTGTGCGTGTGAGTGTGTAAGTCCCTGAAATAGTTGTTTTCTTCTTGGTTGTGAAGTTCTAGGGTTCATTTTTTTTTTTTTTTTCTGAGATACGGTGTAGGTGTGGCCAGCACCTCATGTTATTTCATCACCTTGACAAAACATTAAGCTTTACTTTTAACTGTAAGAAATAAAAAATTGGTAATAGGTAATTTGTTTTTTTACTTCTGATTAATGTAACTAAGGTAGCAGTTAAGAGAAATATTTGATTTACAACAATTGCTCATGGCAGAAAATTCTAACCTGGATTCTGGATCTATTACACAGATTCCCTGAAGTTGGATCAATTTTAAGTGAACAATTTTTGGGTGGTAGGGGATTCATAAGTTTACTTATACTTCAGGTGGCTTATACGCCATAGAAAATTGTATGATTTATGAATTATATCTCAAAGCTATTATTAAAAGTCCCTTCATGAAATATAGCATTCTTTTTTTAATGTAAATTCAAGTTTTTTTTTTTAAGATTTTATTTATTTATTCGTGAGAGACCGAGAGAGGCAGAGACACAGGCAGAGGGAGAAGCAGGCTCCATGCAGGGAGCCCGATGTGGGACCTGATCCCTTATAGGGGAATCATGTCCTGAGCCAAAGGCAGGCAGACGCTCGACCACTGAGCCACCCAGGCGTCCCTAAATTCAAGTTTTAAATACAGAGACTAAAGAGGAAATAATGGTGTAGGATATCATCCTTTTTTCTATACATATATACATATACTCCTCTCCTTTTCCCTAAAAATAGCTGGTATGGGTGAGATACGCATACTTTATTTTTTTAAATCAAGGTTATTGTCGTTATTCTCAGGATGGTCAGTCCCTAACTTTTTAACTTCCTAAGATAGACTGTTTTACAGCTTAGATGCCAGCACTGACAAGTCTTTGCTGAACTTGATTATAATGAAAGATTTATGTGATTTACATCTTTTTATCAACTTACTGTATCTGTTTAAATGTTCACTTTTGAAATATTTTCTAGTTAAGTCTGTATTTTGTGTTTCTTGACTTTGAGTGGACCTTTTGTTTCAAATAGGAGACTTAACATTCACTAACTTTTATGCTTTACTATTCAGTATGATAGAAGTGTGAGTGTTTTACTCTGATGCTATGTAACTGGTGCACTTCCAACCTTTCAGTTTGCCTAGGGTAGTTAAAAGACGAGTGAATGCTCTCAAAAATCTTCAAGTTAAATGTGCACAGATAGAAGCCAAATTCTATGAGGAAGTTCATGATCTTGAAAGAAAGTATGCTGTTCTCTATCAACCTCTGTTTGATAAGGTAATGATTTCTACTACTTTATTTTCTTTACCTAAAATTTGAGATTATAATAAAGCTCTGGAAATACAACCAACCTTGCAGATGGTTTAGTCTTTATAGACCTCTCAGCAAAATGGTTATTCGAGGTATTTGGGAAAACTCAATAATAGCAATTCAGTTGGTGGTATGCATTCATAAAATCTATACACAGCTTTAATGCAAAACAGCTGGTTTTTGGCTTGGATGTCTGTTTTTATGCACGCTTTTCTTTTTTTAAATCATTTTAGCGATTTGAGATCATTAATGCAATTTATGAACCTACGGAAGAAGAATGTGAATGGAAACCAGATGAGGAGGACGAAATTTCAGTCAGTACCAACTTTAGTGTGTGTTTTTTTTTTTTTTGTCTTGGAAATATTTTATTGTTAAGATTGTTGGTGAGTTAACAATAATCAGAACAGATGAGCCACTGTTTGCCCTGGTACCATCTGTACCCAAATTCATTTTTCCCTTACATTTTTTAGTATTTAAATTTTATAGATCATGTAAACTTTTCCTTTGAATTTAATGACATGCAAAAGATTGTTCTTGTTTTTCAAGTAATAGAGTATTCTAAGTGATTTGCCTACAACTAATAAATGGCAGGATTGTGACACAGATCCGGTGTCTGTTCTATGACTATTTCCCGAGCGTTGCTATTTTAATGTTGGTTGATAAGGAGAACATAATGTTTTGATCAGAAACACCAAGGGGTGAGGATTTGGGCAAAGTTTATATTTCTTTTTTTTAACTAAAGTTTAAAAAAATTTTTTCTCTAAAACGGTTTCCCCGTAGCTCATAGGTTCTATGTTTTGGGAGGGTTATGGTAGTAGCAATAAGTAAGGTTTGGTATGGGTAACAGCAATGTTTACACAGTTGGATTAGAACTTGTTTGAAAATTGTAGTTGGTGATTGAGGATTTGCTGGTTTCTGTACTTCACCACTGGATGTAAGGAGATGGGTAAGATTTTATCAAGTGATCTGATCTAGTTATTCAATAACTTATGCTGTTACTTATCTAGGAGGAGCTAAAAGAAAAAGCCAAGATTGAAGATGAGAAAAAGGATGAAGAAAAAGAAGACCCCAAGGGAATTCCTGAATTCTGGTTGACTGTTTTTAAGAATGTTGACTTGCTCAGTGATATGGTTCAGGTAATTTTATTCATTAAAAACATCAGTTTACCTCAAAGGGTAAAAACCTTTGAAATTTAAATGGGTATGATGACTAGTCACTCCATTGTTGACCTCTATAGAATGATTGCTGTTTTTTGAAAACTGTTACCTGTAGAAGTAAAATTGCATCTTTGATTAATGTAATCAAATAAATTATAGTTCATTTTCAAGTTAGATACTGAAATGGTCCCTTTGACAGTTGTTTATCATTGAGCAGTGTTTTATTTAGTCTTGTGTCTTCTCTGTTTAGGTGCTTGGTATTATTAGAGAGTGGAGAGAGGAAACTTAAAATTTCATTTATCTTCCCAAAAATACCTTTTCAGTCTGAAACAAATATTGAGGGACATTTGTGTTTTAAAGGAATAACATAAAGATCTTTAACTCCTTTACAGTTGTCACTTTTTTTTTGAAATCCAACACAGATGTCACCTTCTCAGGGAAATTTCACCTGTTGTAATCAGAAGCATTTCTTGAACCACTATTATCTGCATTATAGTACTTAACAGTGTAGTTTAGTGATTGAAGTCAAAAAGAAATCTCAAAACAGTGACTGCTTATTGCGTTTCTACTTTGGCAAAATACAGAAGGACCTAGCAGAAGGAAAGGAATAAGAAGCAGCTGGAAAAGGAAATGCTTTTAAAGCAAATATGCCTTAGTTAGACTTGGTTTTATGTTCTTCAGCCCATTCAGTCTGATGATGGATATAATTCTCTGTTAAGTCACTTTTTTTTCTACCATTGGCAGTAGAAATGAGTAGAGCTTATAAGTAAACTATAGCTTTGGTTTAAAACCATAATCTGGAGAGTAGGTCTTATGGTTTCTAATTGTTACCTCACTATATAAATGTCTCAGTCACCTAAATGTTTATTGTCCAGTGGTAGCACACTAATCCTGAAGTGCTACGTTAGATTCTCATTTTAGTATTTTCTTAATTTGCAGGAACACGACGAACCTATTCTGAAGCACTTGAAAGATATTAAAGTGAAGTTCTCAGATGCTGGCCAGCCTATGGTAAAAGAACTTTGAAATATTTTTTAGTTTTGTAACATTAGACATTTATAGGTAGATATATGGAACTTTCTAAAAAGTGATATTCTAAGCCTAGAAATGGTGAGAAAGAAGTTGGTACTCTTAATTATTGTTAGGAAATAAATGGGTGTTGGTAATTATGATACAGTATTTATTCCTTTTCCTCCCTCTGAACATAAAACTGTTATTGAAATATAGTAAATCCTTGTGTCTAGATGAAGAATAGATAAAAATGATAGCAAGGAAAAAAATAATAGCACCCTGAATACCTACTCTGTCTTAAAAGGTATGTGTCTGGAAATTACATGAAACAAGATGTTAGAGGCCCCCCACTTCCCCATGATGAAAGATCAGCTATGAGCTTCTCCTAAAATCATCAGTATTATGTGAAGTATGGACAAAGCTACTACAGACTATAGATTCTTTCTTCTATTGTGTGTAGTAAAGTTGGGCTATTTCTCTGTCACATTTGGGGTAGAAGAAGATTTAAAGTCTTTGTAGGGATGAAAGGAGGAGGGAGTACTAGGTCAGTTTATTTCGTTCTAACCTATTTTATAAAAATGCTACTAAATAGAAGTTGTAAGTTGAGCTAGGTTTTATTTAGTTTTATTTTGTGCCTTGTTTTGCTTTTTTGACATAATTTGGGGATTATCTGACCCATTCCCGGAGCAGAAAAGGCATTATCACCTACTTTATGTGTTTGTAAAAATCAATAGATTAAATTTCATTTAATAAAGCATGAACATTTATGATGCAGGAGTTTCATCAGTTTTTTTTTTTTTTTTAAGAGTTTTGTCTTAGAATTTCACTTTGAACCCAATGAATATTTCACAAATGAAGTGTTGACAAAGACCTATAGGATGAGGTCAGAACCAGATGATTCTGATCCCTTTTCTTTTGATGGACCAGAAATTATGGGTTGTACAGGGTGAGTTTAATTTTACTACTTTCACAGAATATTCTATTTCTATGTCTTATTGTTTTACTTATCATTTGTGATATTTAGTGTTTCCTAGTGTGTGCTTGATACATAGTTTAAACATTTCAGAAAAGTGTTTCTTAGACAAGCATACCTATTTTCCTAGAACTCCTTGGCTTATGGTATTGCAGACATCTCTGCAAAGGAGAACACTTGAATTTACTCTATTGTGAATTTGTGCTACTTGTCAATATTTTTGTTGAGAAAATGTGTTTAGAAATAAAATTTTTCTCTTTATATTGCTATTGAAAGCATTTGAGCCAATTTTCCCCCCTAAAATTGGTAATACAAATAATATTTGGGGTGCTTGGGTGGCTCATTCAGTTAAGCATCTCTTGGTTTTGGCTCAGGTCATGATCGCAGGGTTGTGAGATTGAGCCCCTGTGTCCCAGCCCAGAGTCTGCTGGAGACTTTGTCCTCCTTTGGTCCTCCCCTTGTTCATGTGCAAGAATGCTCTTGCTCTCTAAAAAAGAAAATCTCAAAAAAATATATAACATTCTATTGGATAAATCTTAGCTCTTCCAGCAATTAAGTGTAGTATGTTAATTGTGATAAGATTCTTCCCTTTGTTTTGTAAGGTGCCAGATAGATTGGAAAAAAGGAAAGAATGTCACTTTGAAAACCATTAAGAAGAAGCAGAAACACAAGGGACGTGGGACAGTTCGTACTGTGACCAAAACAGTTTCCAATGACTCTTTCTTTAATTTTTTTGCCCCACCTGAAGGTAAATAGTGTCTTAGTTTGGGTACTGATGGTTGTTTTATTGTAAGCTTTTTAAAAATTTCCTTACTCATTTGAATTTCTTTTCTCAATTTTTCAGTTCCTGAGAGTGGAGATTTGGTAAGTTAAATCGTTATTTGTTGAATTGTTCACTGTGAAACTTAACTGCTTCTCAGATGTGGGGAGTTGGATAGTTGCTACTGGCCTGAGGCTTGCAGTGCATGAAGAAGACCTGTATCCATCTGAAATTATTTCATTCAAAATGCATAGAGTGCTTTCACTGAGAAATGCTGAAAGGCTAAAGACTTTTCTTTTGAGGCTTGTGGGGGCTTCAGGTTCTTAAGATGATAGTTTTCTTATTGAAACTCGGATGTATTAAGTCATTTGGACTATTTACTCCTAACCACATTCTGGTTAGAATCCTTTGAATTTGTTACTCCAGTGGAAACATGCTTTCATATTGTGGCCATGAATTATGTGACCCCATAGGCAAGAGCTTACTTATTAGTGCCTGTGTTACAGCCTGGAATGAGGAATAACCTCAAAGAGGTCTGTGCAGGCAAGGGTGTAAGCTAGGAATGTGTTTTGAATTTGCTTTTCTGTTGGGCAGATTTAAAAAAAAAAAATATTTATTCATGAGAGACACAGAGAGGCAGAGACACAAGCAGAGGGAGAAGCAGGCTCCATGCAGGGAGCCCAATGTGAGACTCGATCCCGGGTCTCCAGGATCACGCCTTGGGCCAAAGGCAGATGCTCAACTGCTAAGCCACCCTGACGTCCCTCTGTTGGTCAGATTTTTGAACTTCTATTAACTCAGTCTAAGTAGTTTTATACATACGGAATTAGAAAGTATGTTTATTTTGAAGTACTTTTGAATTAGAATAGTTTTGGTTAAGACTTAGACCAGATCTATAAAAGCCAGGTATTTCTGCCTATAAAAAGTGGTAATTGGCTTGGTTTTTTTGTTTAAAAAAAAAAAAAAAAAAAAAAGCCTTTCGTGGGATTAAAAAGAATATAAAAGTGGCACGTGGATTTTAGGTAGAACTACTTAGCATTAAGATAGAGTTTTCATGCTATTTTCATGTTAGTGGGTTGGAGTTTGTGTTGAAGTGAATTTTTTTTTTTAATTCTACTGTCAAATATTGATGGTGACAAAAATGGTCTTGAGTTGTTACAGATAGAACACCTCCACTTGTGATTAGAAATCTTTCCTTCAAAGTCCACTGCCCCCTTTTGTGGGTGTTTTTTTTTTTTTTTTTTTTTTTGGCTGTTTGTTAAAGTGGATTGTGTTGATGATTCAAAATAGACATTGATGGAATGTTAATTCATTGTTTGGTATCATGGAACTTAAGTGGGATTATTTTAATTTTGAATAATGTCAGCACATTTCTATGTTGTGCTTTGTCATTAAATAGAACTCCTTAAAACAGAAATTATTAAATATAATTCTTATTTGGCATTATACATGCAAACTGCTAATAGATTATCTTTAAGGAATTGTGAAGTGATCCTGTGTTTTTATGTGCTGTATACCTGTTATTTAAATCCTGAGATTCTTAATATTATTCAATTTGTGCTTTCAGTGATGAGTATAAGGAAAATTACAATCACATAACAAAGTTGCTTTTATATTTTAATTTTAAGTCAAAAACTAAGCAATAAATAAAGTTCTAATTTTATTTTCCTAAATTTCTCTAAGTATAGACACTGACTTGCTAACTTTATTAAAAACCTATGAACATAAACCATATATAGATTACTGTTTAATCACACAAGAAGATAATTTTAAAATGACAAAGTTAGAAGTGAAATTGAATGTTGCTTCATTAGGATTTAATCCTAAAAGTCTTGCATGTGCCTAATTAAATAAGTTACTAAATATTGTGCTTTTTTTTTTTTTTTCTTAAAAAACAAAACAGGATGATGATGCTGAGGCTATCCTTGCTGCAGACTTCGAAATTGGTCACTTTCTACGTGAGCGTATAATCCCAAGATCAGTGTTATACTTTACTGGAGAAGCTATTGAAGATGATGATGATGATGTGAGTGAATCTGAATCCTGCAGTGAAATCATTTGGTGAGGGTATGATGGTCATAATTGGTGAGCAGTTTAATGAGTAAATGTAAATTTTTAAGAAAATAGAATAATTTAAAAGCTAATTACAGATGTCCTGTAGGTAACTTTCCTGAATTGTTTTTAAATATTTCCTTAGAATATTTGGTAGCTTTTATTTTCCTGCTCTTTATGAAGACTGCTCTGAATTAGTGCAACTTTTGGTCAGTGTTGTAGATGTATTATGCTCTTGGTTTTGACTAGACAAAACATACCTGAGATATTTTTTATTGCTTAATAGAACAATACTAGGAAGCATAGAATTTTTATCTAAAGGAATAATAAGAATTAAGGTAAAATTAGGCAGTCCTCATATTTTGGTTATCTTTATTGCTAGATGTCATTCAAATAGGTTTCAGGTTCTTTTTGTGCTTGCTTATACTTCACATAAGTATAAGCAAGTAATGTTTATAGTAATAGTTGTCTGATCACACCCACAATTGTACTGTGTTCTTTAACTTTTTAAATTGTCGGATTTAGATATTGGCACTGAGTTGAGTGATTCCTGCAGCTATTTAATTTATAATTAATGGCCTTAGAGAAAGTATTTTTTAGATATTTTTAGATATTAGTGGATACAGTGATGGCTGTAACAAATGCTATTCTCAAATGTTGGTTAGCTTCATTCAAACTTCATCCTTTTTTCCCTTTTTAGTATGATGAAGAAGGTGAAGAAGCGGATGAGGTAATGTTTACCAAATGAGCAAATAATTCTCTGTTTAACACACTGAGAAGGAAATTGAGTGACTTATGTATTCCTTTGCTATAATCATTATTCTGTGATAACGGGATAAAATCCTTTTGGAAAAAAAATATGGTTTTAGAATTCTACAGCCAAACAATGTATGTATGAGGTTTCAATAAATAAATTGCAAAACTCAGAACATTTTTTTTATTTCAAATAATTCTGTTCTGCTGCAGGGTTATCAGCTCTTTGAAGAAGTCAAAAGCTGCAGTAAACTTTTTCAACGTTGGCTGCAGTAAATCTTTTCAATAAAAGCTCTCTGGATGTCTCAAGTTGTGTTGGGAAATTTTTCATATTAGAAGCTTTCAAATTAAATTGCATTGTCACCAAACTCTGTAATCATGAAAATCTTTTGACCTATAGAGTAACTTGTATTAAAATTTCTCCATACATTATGAGCCATTTCTTCCTACTGTGTACCTACTTCATGGATGCATTTTGAACTTTAATATAGGAAGGGGAAGAAGAAGGAGATGAGGAAAATGATCCAGACTATGACTCAAAGGTGAGCAAAATTAGTGCTGCTTTTTATTAAAGGCAGGTTAAATAAGAGTTGATGTTTCTTAATATAAGGTTTATTTATTTATTTTTTTGTCCGTTAAAGTCTTTAATAAATCCTATTGACTGGAGATAATGTATATTCTGTTTTGATCCCCATTGGCATTTCAGTAGTACATGAGATTTCAGTGCACATTTCCTAAGAAACTTTATTTTTGGTTCTGACTTTGTATTTTTCTTAGTCTCAGGCTAAATAAACCCTAAGATTTTAATGTACATTATCTTGGGCTCTTTTAAAAAATTTATTTTTATTTTTTTATTTATTTGAGAGAGTGCAAGCATACACAAGACAAAAGTTGGGGTAGAGAGGGGAAGAGAAGGGTGCTCTCTGCTGAGCAGGGAGCCTGATGTGGGGCTTGATCCCACCCAGGACCCTGGGATTGTGACCTCAGCTGAAGGCTGAAATTAACTGACTGAGCCACCCAGGTGCCCCTGTGCTTTTTAAAAAGTGTTTTTAAGAAGCATTTTATTTTCATTTTGTTTTTTAAAGATTTAGTTATTTTAGAGAGTGAGTGAGTGGAGGGGGAGGGGTGGAGAGAAAGGGGGTGAGAGAGAGAGCAAGAATCCTCAGCAGACTCCCTGCCCTAGTGCAGAGTTTGATGCAGGGATTCAGGGCTTGACCTCAGGCTTGATCCCAGGACCCTTAGATCATGACCTGAGCCAATATTAGGAGTCAGCCAGTCTTTAACCGACTGTGTCACCCAGGAGCCCCTGGAAGCGTTTTAAATTCTTGTTTGTATTCTTAGGTTGTTTTCCCTCCAAAGGATAGCTTTTTGCTTTTTTTTTTTTTTTTTTTTTTTTTAAGATTTTATTTATTTATTAGAGAGGCAGAGACACAGGCAGAGGGAGAAGCAGGCTCCATCAGGGAACCTGACGTGGGACTCGATCCCGGGGCTCCAGGATCACGCCCTGGGCCAATGGCAGACGCTAAACCGCTGAGCCACCCGGGCTGCCCCCAAAGGATAGCTTATAAACAAAGGTCAGTTTTTAAATAATCTGATTGCAGGAGTGCTTGGGAATAGAGAAGCAGTACTGCTTGTTGGAGTCTCCCAACCACTTCTGTTCTTTATCTTTTTGAGACTCTCAGTTCTTGGGAGTTTGTTATATCAGAGTTGGTAAAGCCCTTTGTCTCCCCCCAAAATACATAGTACATTATCAAGATTCATTTGAAACTTGGTTTCTGTTAAATGCATTTATTCATTTGCTAAGTACTGTAAAATATCCAGAAGATACTTTAGTGAGCAGGTAAGAGAAGGGGTAATTAAAAATCAAATTAAATAGTCTAAAAGGTATAAATTAGTATGTCTGATTAATCTAGAAAAAGGCAAAAATAATTGGTGATATGACTAACATAAATTGCTTGGTTAATTTTTAAGATTATGGTTCAGTGTGTTATTTTATGGAGTTCATTCCACAATGTAAAATTTGGGCTTTTGCATTTTTGTGATTTGCTAATATTTGAATAAATAGTTTGCCATCCTTGCTATACCATTTCCTTAATTTGGCAAAAATTTTGGTAGAACGATTAGATCATATAATTACGATAATTACTGTTGAAAATTAAATGAAGCAGGTAGAAGAAGATAGATTGACTTGTTGTTTTCCTTTAACAGAAGGATCAAAACCCAGCAGAGTGCAAGCAGCAGTGAAGCAGGATGTATGTGGCCTTGAGGATAACCTGCACTGTAATAGCCTAAACACAACTATTATTTACTTACAGCCTTATGTTTTTGTATTTTCTTGGTAGACTCAGTAATTTTTTTTAAAGGAAAGGAACTGATAATTTTAGACCAATTTGTTCTACGTAGCATTTTCACTCTAGTTTTTCTGGCAGTTCTATTGACTGCACAAATTCTTCCACGCATGTTTGTTCATCACTACGTGGTTTGGTTCTTCGGGAGTAATTTGTATCCTGTAACAAAGAGTGTAGATTACAGCCATGAAAGGGAACAGAACTATTAAAAGAAACAGTTTGATAATTTTTTTTTCCTGAAGAACCAAAGTGTTTTTTTAGCTGGTAGTTGAATTGGGTTTATGTTGGCTTGCACTAGCTGTGCCTTTCATGACTTTGTTATAGAAATGCAGTGACTTAGACTAAGACAATTCCTCATTTAAAAAACAAAACTTGTTGAGACAAATATATGGTTAAGAATTTCCAGTAAGACCACAACTGATAACTAGATTATTAATGGAATTTTGTATTTTAGGTGACATAGTTAGAAACCTAGTAAGGAAATAATAGTAAAGAAACCTAACTCATAGTGTGGATATTACTATAGGGAGGTGAATAAAACCTATTTTCAGAAGTTAAGCCTCATTATTTTAACTGTACTTTTAAATTTAACTTCCATTAACTAAGCATCTTTTCTTTATGGTAGGGTCTACCTTCTGCTTCCCTGGAAAGGATGAATTTACATCATTTGACAAGCCTATTTCGAGTTTTTTGTTGTTACTGTTTGTTTGCTTGTTTTTGTTTTTGCAGCCTAAAATAAAAATGTCAAATATAATTTTAGTTCTCAAAAGAGAATGTCTTAATTTTGTACTAATTCAGGTAGAAGCAGAGGCCTAGCTTGAATTAAGCATTGTACCCAGTTTACCCTATTATGGAAGAAAAGAGTGTCAGCTTTGGGAGAGGTACTATATCTGCTAATTAAGAAAGTATAAAAAAGACAAAATCTTAAATGATAAATGATGTACTGTTTTTTTAAAAGAAAAATTAGAAAGGTTAAAATTTCATTTCTGTTGATTAGAACTAGAGAGAAGGCCCCAAGCCTCTATGGTTAATTCAATTCTTAAACTGCTTTTAAAGGATGAGTATGTCATTTACCCATGCTTCTGTTTACTATGTATTAAAATGGGTAGTACTGTTTACCTAACTACCTCACAGATATGTTAAGGCATATTAAGTTAAATTTTATGAAATGTTTCTCGATCTCATTAAAAGCTCAAAAATTTGGACCTATTTGTACCACAAGTATGATATTCAGCATTTTATTCATACTAGGGTTTGATAATTCAACTGGAAAACAAAGGTTTAAGTACCTCTATTCTGGATCTGGTCAGGTAACACTCTTGCAGATCTTCGTGTGGCTCCTATCTCAATAGAAGCTGATAGATGAGCAATTTTTTGAAAAGGTCCAAGGATTGTTTTTAGGTATTTTAGTTACGACCATATTGTAGTAAAATACTACAGAGATCATGGGACTAAGTAGGAAGAAGACCATTTTTAGGGGGAAATGCCATTAAATTTGAGACTGTAGAGCCACATTTAAAATACCTCAGGCTAATTACTGTTAATTTTCGTGATAAGCTTATAAGCTTTGACAGTGAGGGGAGACTAAATGGATTAGATAATTAGAGGACAGCCTAGAGTTCCTGCTCATAATAAACTTACATTGTTTTTAGAAGCGATAGAGTTTCCTTTTTGAAAACTTAGTATTAAGATCTTGGAATGTGAACACATCTTGTTATTTGTATAATACTATTCATTCCTCTCCTGAGATTTTAATTAACTACTGGAAATCCTTAACCAGTTGTGATAGTTTGTAGGAAAAAAATGCCATGAAAAACATTATGTTTTTCCTCTTTATTTTCAAACTGTTTTTGGTTGCTCTGATTAGACCTTCTTTGCTGATTTTTGTTTTTGTACCCATAGCTCATTTGATCGCAGCCTTTTCTAAACTGAAAAAATTTTAATCTCAAGATAGAATCCCATTTTTAATGAACTTAAGTAGCAGAACCCCTATTTTTTTTTTCCTCATTCCTTTAGGTACTAGCTATTGCCAAAGTGAAGGGGGCAGATACTATTTCATCTTGTTATATAAAGGGGATGTGGTTTGCAGAGAAATTGTTTTCTTAATAAATGTGGCATTGCAAGGATATTAGTGTTTATGCCATCTCTCCAGTTCCAAAATGGTTCTATTCCATTCTAGAAATTGAAATATGTAATTTGAAATCCTTAATAAAATTTGCATTTAATTTTATAAAATGTACTGGTGATATTTTGGGTGGTTTTTTAAAAATATATTTGTATCTATATACTTTTTTTTTTTTTTTTTTTGAAGAGCAGAAGAGTAGAGATGTTTAGAAGTAGGCTATTCTGTGCTTAGGCGAGAATGGCTTGTAAATTTGTATAATTTTAAAAGCGACCTCCCAAGCCCTGCAAAATGGAGTTTGTTACTGGAAGACAAAGATTTTTACTCTGAGTTAACTTTAGACATTTTTGAGACACTTTGAATTTTGTCTTTACATTTCCAGTTTATAGTTTCCCCTGCTGAGGCACAGATTACCAAGAAGTTCTATTTTTTCTTTCTAGAAATGGCAAAATCTCATAATCACCTATATAAGCAAATACTTTGAAATTTTTTGTCATTTTATGGTCTTTCAGATATGGTAAGTAAACAACCAACAGTTTTATAAATCACTTAGGTTTTTGATTTAACGCGGATGTCTGAAAGTTAAATTTATGTAACTTTTCAGAATTCTTTTATCGAGTTCACTGAAACAGTATTAGTATTTCTGTGACATAAAAATACCTGAAGTGTGTGGACCTGGCTTACAGAGTAACACTTAAGAAAAATGGGATTCTACTTCTATTCAGTTTTTAGCTCATTTAATAAAAACAAACCTGGAAGGGAGACATTAGCTTTGATAGGAATATTTTCATTATTCTGTAATAGGTTAATGATACTGATTGGTGTATACTTAGACCTGTAAGATAACTGAATTACTGCTCATATGACTGCCGCTTGTAAGGCAGTACAAATTTTGGGGTTTATCTGAGTGGTAGGCCATTACCCTTACTAAAAATAAACTTTAAATTACTGTTTGTGAAAACCTGATCGTACAATGCAGGAATATTAAACTAATATTCAGACATTCTTTGAATGCTTGGTTTTAGGGCTTGGTTTAGAATTTGAGTCCATTTTTACAGGTTAGTCTTAGAAAAATTTTAGCCTTTATATTTTTTTGACTATTTGAGTCCAAATGTTATTTTAAATGTACAGAATAAATGGGTAGTTTAGGAGAAGTATATGTTCTTAATAGGAATCTTAGGAACGAGAAATCCTATGCTACTTTAGTGTTTTTTTGTTTTGTTTTTTTTTAATCTTCCTGCACTGTATATATTCTTGGTAATTGTGAACTGGATTTTGTTTTGAAAATAATGTGTTCATAACTTAGGTAATTTGCTACTTAAAGCACTAAGTCTAATAGCTGAAAAGTAAATATAAATGATAATGATGAGATTAACTTACAGATGTATAGTAGTGATTTTGTATACTGGTTTAAAAATCCAGATATCAGAATATAACTTGAATTAAAAAACCAAGTTCATGGACTAATTAGGGATCACTTATATGACTTCTGAGAAATGGAAATATCTTTGTTGGAGTGTGAAATTATTTTAAGGATGAGTGTTTATCCATGAGAAAATTTTAATTGATGTATTATATTTTCAAAAAATACTATGTACTTTGTATCTTGTGTTTCTTCCATTTAACATTCTGTACTTTTAGGTTTTTCAGGTAAAAAAAAATGAAGGTATTGAGTAATTCTCTTACATGTAAAAATAGGTGAGAAATGGAGTATAACAATTTAGAAATAATAAATTGCCAGCAGGAAATAAGTCATTAATTCAGTTGCTTAATTTTCATATTGAGAAAACTAAGAAATTGAGAGTTTGTAGCTTTTGCAGATCTCTCGTTCTGAGTTTTATTTTGAAAGGAGAAAATGTTGCTTAAGATGAATGGAGTTTTTAGTTCCTTGTGTAGTTTAAGCTTAAAAACTAAGAAAGAACTGGGGATGAGTAATCGAAAGTGCCAGAAATTGACAGATCTCATATCAAGAGTTAGTGATATTGATAGTCTTAATTTTGTTATTCATAATGAAGTTAGGTAATTGTGGCTCTGAAAAGTTTCTCATGGAGTGGTAAAGTAGTTTCTACCAAGAAGACTCAAAAACTTAGGTGACAGCTTTTTAGCTAGAATTTCAAAGAGGGGTAGGAATTTGTGTAGATCCAAAGATGGATCCTTTGAGTGGAGAGCCGTTCAAGTGAAGGTCTGGAGAAAACCCTGAAAATCCTGAGGTAGGACAATCTCGGACTCATTCAAGGTGTTGATAAATGGATGGAGATACAAGCTTGGGGCCAAGCCATGGAAGACGTAGCCACAGAAGTCGTTTTAAAGGGTTTAAAACACTAAAAACCATTTGTTCAGAGTATTTCAAGTGAAGATGACCCTCCCATGAAGGCAGTTTTTAAACTAAGACATGATAGATACTCTAACTCTGAAAATACAGTTGAAAGAATTCTTGTGTATTCTTACATCACAGTGTGTTGGATTTTGCTAAGTATAGCTGTGTATTCTGAAGCATACATTTAGACACATTTTTTTCTAAACTATTTGACAGAGTTGCAGGCATCATGTCCTTTTACCCTTTAAATGTTTTTTCCTCATTTTGAAGACATTCTTACAAAATCAGTACAAGCAATATTAGTTGTGCAATCAAATTTGTGTGCACCAGTGAACATAGATTAAAAACTGAATACACACTGAATGCCTCCAAGTTAATCCAACACAGTAGGACTTTTTCCCGACCTTCCTCCAGTCCATATTTGTTCATTAGGAATGAGAATGGACTCAGGAATGAGAATTGTGAATGAGGTTGCTCTATAGGAATTTAAAACCATGGATAAAAATGGAAAAGAAGTTGTATAGTCCCTAAACAAGGGATGAACTAGCATTTTTTAAATGCATGTGGGAATAAAACCGTTAACGCTTTTGGTGGTAGAATGGTTAAATAAAGGTTCTGGGGTTCACCTGCCACTGTTCATTCAACCTCCTTGTTTGGTGTAGATTGTGGTGAGCACTAGTGAGAACACATTAATGCTTCTAGTGCTTAACAACCTGATACATAAATAATGAGCATATAGTAAACTTCCTAAACAAAGTCCAGAACTTGCAGTTGGAATCCTCTTTTAAATTGATTTTCGCAGTTAATTTTAAAACTAGTTGGGTTTTTTTGTTGTTGTGTTTCTAAAGGTAAAATGTCTCTTGGCTAAAGGGTGTCCTATTTGGTGTACAAAAGAACAGACTAAGGCTGAGAATATAAACCATTTCCCCCATTTCAAAAGGTTTTGATGTAAAACTAAAATGGAAAAGAATAATTTGTTCTCTAAAGTCAGCTAGTTTTTAAAAATCTCAATACCTATTTTTTAAATACATTTTATTATACTAAGTTTTGGCCCTGACTCCTATCCAGGAATGATGTAGAGTAAAATTAAATGAAGTCTGATAGTCTTTAGACATGAATGCTCCAAAATGCCCAAGTTGTTGTTCAGCCCATCTCCATCCCTAACTTTTATGTGGAGCTCCGGACATTGTGACAGATAGATAACCAAGAGGTGGACGATGAGAGCGGGTGTCTGTTTTGGAATCAGATGTGATTTTATAGACTCGGATTAGGCTAGTTGATTTAAGTTTCAAAACCAGAAGCTGGATCTGGCCTT